AAAAAAAAAAAACAAAAAAAATAAAATAAAATAAAACAGACTCCAAAATTTAAAACTTCTGTTCTTTCCAAGATTCTTTATCTTGTGTGTGTAGTTTTTATTTTTCTTTTTTAAAAGAGCTGGGGGTCTCCCTGTTGCCCAGGCTGGATTTAACACTTATGCTTAGGCCGGACACAGTGGCTCATGCCTATAATCCAAGCACTTTGGGAGGCTGAGGTGGGTAGATTGCCCAAGCTCACAAATTCAAGACCAGCGTGAGCTAGATCGAGACCCCATCTCTAAAAATAGCCAGGCATTGTGGTAGGCACCTGTGGTCCCAGCTACTTGGGACGCTGAAACAATAGAACTGCTTGAGCACAAGAGACAGAGGTTGCTGTGAGCTGTGACACCAGAGTACTCTTTGGAGGGGGGTGGGGGGGGAGTAAGAATTCATCCCCAAAACCAAACAGGGCAGCGCCTGTGGCTCAGTAAGACACGGGCCCCATATACCAAGGGTGGTGGGTTCAAACCCAACCCCAGCCAAACTTCAACAAAAAACAGCTGGGCGTTGTGGCGGGCACCTATAGTCCCAGCTTCTCAAGGGGCTGAGGCAAGAGAATCGCCTAAGCCCAGGAGTTGGAGGTTGCTGAGAGCTGTGACGCCAAGGCACTCTACCAAGGGGGACAAAATGAGACTCTAACTCTAAAAATGAACAAAAATAAAACAAACAAGCAAAAAAAAACACCCACTTGCGCTCAGCGCTTCCTCCCAAATAGCTGGGACTACAGGCATGTGTCACTGAGCCCAGTCAAATACATTTTAAAAAATGAAAATACAGCCACAAATTGTGAAAATATATAAAGACAGATATAATCTGACAAATGACTTATAATGAGGAAAATCTCTGCACTATGAATATACAGTAATTTCTAGGATATATGATGTTAAGGAAAAAAAAATAAACCAGGAAGCAAAATGGTACATGTAGTATGTTTACTTTTGTGTATGATGGAAGAAAAATCAAGATAAATGCCAACATGTAAGCCCACAGGAAAAGTCTTAACATGCAACACTGGGGCTGGGTGCAGTGGCTCACACCTGTAATACCAGCACTCTGGGAAGCTGAGACAAGTGGATTGCCTAAGTTTAAGAGTTTAAGAGCAGCCTAAGCAAAGGTGAAATCCCATCTCTAAAAAACAGCCGGGCATTGTAGCAGGTGCCTGTAGTCCCAGCTACTCGGGAGGCTGAGGCAAGAGAATCACTTGAGCCAAGAGTTTGAGCTATGACACCTTTACACTCTACCAAGGGTGACAAAGTAAGACTCGGTCTCAAACAAAAAAAAACAAAAGTATATGATGCCCGGGACAATGAACATCCACATGCAAACAATAAATGTGGACCACGAGGCTCCTACCATACAGAAACTCATCAATAACAGATCACAGATCTATGTTATATCTTAAGAGCTAAACTATAGGAGCTGGAAGTCGAGGCAGGAGTGATTCTACTTCCGTTTCTAGTTTTGCTCTGGTGTTTGGGTTTCTCCTTGGCCGCCCAAGATGAACCAATTCTTCGGGAAAATGAAACCCAAGGCTCCGCTGCCCAGCCTGACTGACTGCATTGGCATGGTGGACAGCTGGGCAGAATCTATTGACAAGAAGATTTCTCGATTGGATGCTGAGCTACTGAAGTATAAGGATCAGATCAAGATGATGAGAGAGGGTCCTGCAAAGAATATGGTCAAGCAGAAAGCCTTGCGGGTTTTAAAGCAAAAAACGGATGTTTGAGCAGCAGCGGGACAATCTCGCACAACAGTCTTTTAACATGGAAGAAGCCAATTACACCATCCAGTCATTGAAGGACACTAAGACCACGGTTGATGCTATGAAACTGGGAGTAAAAGAAATGAAAAAAGCATACAAGCAAGTGAAAATTGACCAGATCGAGGATTTACAAGACCAGTTAAGAGGATATGATGGAAGATGCAAATGAAATCCAAGAAGCACTGAGTCACAGTTATGGCACCCCAGAATTAGATGAAGATGACCTGGAAGCTGAATTGGATGCACTGGGTGATGAGCTTCTAGCCGATGAAGATAGTTCCTACTTGGATGAAGCAGCATCTGCACCTGCAATTCCAGAAGGTGCTCCCACTGACACAAAAAACAAGGATGGAGTTCTGGTGGATGAATTTGGATTGCCACAGATTCCTGCTTCATAGACTTGCATCATTCAAGTACCTCGTATAAAATGAACATACATTGTGGGACTGGGAAATGTGTTATCTTTCTGAAATTTCCATAACAGATTTAGGTTTTTTTCTTTTCTTTGAAAGAAAGGTTAATTACATTCCTTTTTTTTTTCCCAGTAAGAGACTCATCCCTTTGGAGATGCTTTCTTTATACTAAAATTTGATTCCTTTTTCTCTTATGAAAGACTAACTTGGCTCGGCGCCTATAGCTCAACCGGTTAAGGCGCCAGCCACGTACACCTAAGGTGGCGGGTTCAAATCCCCAGCCCGGACCCGCCAAACAACAATGACGGCTGCAACCAAAAAATAGCCGGG